GGGGGGGGGGGTGTCCAGAGATGAAGAAGGTAGAGACAGAGGCTCGAGTACAGGGTGCAGTTGTGAAGGGACATTGCATGTGGCTTACCTGCCCCTGCTGCCTTGGGGTGGTCTCTGAAAGGGCAGACCGCCATGAAACAAGCAAATGTGCTAATTCAATGATTATGAAAGGTGTCTGCAAAATCATTGGGTGAACTCTGCCAGTTTCCTGCAGACACAACTGCAGAGGAAAATACTCATTGTCAGTGTCCAGTACCATGCGAGTCTCTGATATGTCTGTAGGGAGGAAATGCTATGAAAGTAGCGGGGAAATACATTTTATAAATATAGATAGGATTTGATAGCACCATATAGAGGGCTGCTTGCCTGTTTTTTTTAATGTGAGGAAATAAGGTCAGAAAGGATTGTTTTCATATTCTGGTTTTGCCTTTGTGGTGTGTGAGCAATATTATTTTTCTCAATCAGGATATATGTTTGTAGCCTTTTCAGAATGTGTTGGATATACTTTTAAGGCGACAGATGTCCTATTTGCATTCTGTGCAAAGTTACCCAGGTGTCAGAGTTCCTTAAAAACAAAACTACAATGATAACAGTAAAGACCCTAAGTACTTCAAGTGCTGATCACATGAGCGGGAACCAGCCTCCACGGTGCATGTGTACAGTGATATCAAAGAGAGGAAATGCTATGAGTGTGTCTCAGTCTGAGGGGCCAGTGAAAAGACACCAAGAAATAGATGGTGAAAAAGACATGGAAAGGAACAATAAATATCTCCTGTGTTTTTTTCTTTTTTTGCAGTCCTGTTTCAAACCCGAAGTGGATGATGCTGTCAGGGCTGAGCCACTGACCAACGTCTGAAAAATTCCCATCTTCTCGTTGGCCATCAGCTGAGATAAGATGGAAGACTCTTACAAGGACAGGACTTCCCTGGTGAAGGGTGCGAAGGACATTGCCAAAGAGGTGAAGAAACACACAGTGAAGAAGGTGAGTCAGGCAGTGGACCGGGCCCAGGACGAATACACCCAGAGGTCCTACAGTCGCTTCCAGGATGAAGACGAGGACGATGACTGTTACCCCCCCGGAGAGACCTATCGTGGGGAGGCCAATGATGACGAAGGCTCCAGTGAGGCGACTGAGGGTCACGATGAAGACGATGAGATCTACGAAGGGGAGTACCAGGGCATCCCCAGTATGAACCAAGGGAAGGACAGCGTCGTGTCCACGGGGCAGCCCAAGGGGGATGAGTACAAGGACCGGCAGGAGCTGGAGTCGGAGAGGAAAGCTGACGAGGAAGAACTAGCTCAGCAGTACGAGCTGATAATCCAGGAGTGCGGCCACGGCCGTTTTCAGTGGACCCTTTTCTTTGTCCTGGGCATGGCCCTCATGGCGGACGGCGTGGAGGTGTTTGTCGTTGGCTTTGTGCTGCCCAGCGCCGAGACAGACTTGTGCATACCAAACTCCGGGTCCGGGTGGCTAGGTGAGTGCATCGGGCCGGGAGACAGACTCTGAAAGGGATTCATTTGTTGAGCACAGTTAACAAATAGAATCAATACATTTCGCCTAGAGCACTGTATTTTTTCCAACACTTTATTATGAAAAATTTTAAACATACAAAGGAATCAAAAGAACTGTCAATGATGCCCATATATACCTGCCACTTAGGTTCTGTGGTTAACATTTACTATATTTTCTTTATCACCTATCTGCCCATCAATCCAACTTATTCAGGGTGTCCCCCCAAAATGTATACACACTTTGAATAAAATTAATTCCAATGAGTTAAATATGAAAAGAAAGAAACATCAATTGAGCCATCAGCTGTTAAGTGTGCGTACATATTTTTGGGACATCTATATTTTTATGCATTTCAAAGTAAGTTAGAACCATATGTTTTATACTTTTATAAATGTTACATTGGTTTATCCTTTATTAACTTCCGAAGATATGCCCTTGGAAGTTAATAAAGTTGTTACATGAATCTTACTTGACATTTTTTTAAATACAGAGGTTAGTTCTATGAAATTCTGACAAATGTTATTTCAAATTCCAAATTTCCAGTTTTATGTGTAGTCCTATGGTTTAAATACGTTTGGACCCTGCTAATTTTTATTTTTCCTATAATTTATGTGTATGATTTCATGTTAACTTTTTTCATTTACCCTTATTCATAGATTTTTTTCTCTACATGGCTTTTTCAATCTTTTTCAAAGTTCATACCTTTGTGCCTAAACTGGAAAAACTTCATTTTCTCTTAGGATTTAAAAATATTTCAAATCATTTTAAATTTTCAACGATATGTGTTAAAAATAATATGACCTCCCTATAAAATACCTAGACAGCAGGTTTGAACTTCGTTAGTAAGTTGCCACGCGCTCAAGGTTCGCGTTGTTGCAGAGCTGCAGTCAGTACCCCGCGCGGTCCCTTGTGTGGTGCGCAGCAGGCTGCCCGGTTTAGGAGCCCGTTTCAAACACCTGTACGTTTTGCTGAGCGTGCCTCAGAGAACATGTTTATGTGCGTATTAAATCTTTACATGTTTCAGAGTCTGTGGAAGAGAGTAAGAATACCTATTATCTCTATTTCCAAGGGACTTTTTAAACTAAAGCTTGAAAAACAAAAATGTGCAACTCTTTTTGTGGAAACCTTGTCACTCTATTAAGTAATGTTACAATCATGGATGCTGGGAAGTTTTCTGTATGAAAACAAAGGCCATTTCCTCACCTGCCCTGTGAAAACACAGGAGAGATGGTCATGAATGAGAAAAAGATTTACATCTTATCCCTTTAACACTGGTTTCTTTCTTTTTTTTTTTAATGTATCTTTATTGATTTCAGAGAGAAGAAAGGAGAGGGAGAGAGAGATAGAAACATCAATGATGAGAGAGTTATTGATCGGCTGCCTCCACACCCCCGACTGGAGATCGAGCCCACAACCTGGGCATGTGCCCTGACTGGGAATCGAACCCTGATCGCCTGGATCCTAGGTGGACTCTCAACCACTGAGCCACGCCTGGCCGGGCAACACTGTTTTCTTTCATGCAGCCCGTTTCTGCATTTGTTTCTTTGAAAGATGTGGGTCCACGAAAGCAAACTGAGGGGGAAGGCATGAGAGGGGGAGCACATATTTTGCATGGTTTTTGCAGGTAGACACATTTGGATGTTCAACCATCAAATGCAGAACATGGTCCAAAGGAGGGTCCTTAGTCATTTGTTAAATTCACATTTCAGCATTTCTTTTTCATATCTATCACTCCACCCCCTTTGGAGAGCAAGTATACCCACTGTAAGCCTGGGCATCAACATAATTATCAAGATTTTGTTAAGGAAATATATCAACAGAATGTTTTAAGAAGATAGATCCTTAGAAATACATCCACATGAACATTTAATAATTGCAAGCTTAAGTTTTGAATACATAATCTTGCCATGTTATGAGCTTACCTTTTATATTGGAAACATTTCAGAAAAATCTAAGCCAAGCTTGCCTTTGCGCCTTTATCTCCTCGGTGCCAATGGAAGCTCAGTGTGGCACAAGTTTCTTAGTTGACTGTCCTATAACCTACCAACCCTGAGGAGGTTACACAGCCCCAGGTTGCACCCAGAAGTATAGATAATGCTGTGAACAATTACAGCTCAGACATTTTTATTTCCGCATGAATGTTGCCAGCCTTAGTAAATTAAAGACGTGTCCCCAGGAGGATACACTTTCACTCAATGTTGGGAGTCCACAGCAGAAGCTTCTTAATGGTTTCATAACTGTGCCTTCCAGACCTGCATTTCAATTATTTTGCCATTATAATTTCATTTATAATTGCATACTAACCGTGTCATTTTTAGACGGGCATTTAAATTGTTTTGTCATTTTCATTTCATCGAGTAATAGCTTTGTAATATAATTATCACACTAAGTCATAGCAATGGGATCAAAAAGCAGGACAGAAAGATGCATGACCCACGTGTGGTGGCATGTTGAGGATATGGACTTGCAAAATAATTTCTCATTTGTTACTAAGCATTGTGTCATTGTCCTCAAGGCAGGCTAAGAACAAAAAATCAGAATCAATTTATGCTTTCAGCATTTGGGAGATGGATCTCTTTGTGTGTCTTAAAAGATTACTTAAAGGTAGCTAAGGGTATATAGTGTGTGCATATGTGTGTGTGTGTGTCTTTCTGTCTGTCTGCACCTATAACATTGTTAATTGGGCTGGGAAAAGAGTAAATATTTAATTGTCTAATCAACTGCTCTTTGGGGGAATAGGTATAGTCACATTAAGATAATCCAGCCTCTTTTGCTAATGTCTGTTTCTTGAGCACTTACTATGTGCAGAGCACAGTGTTACCACAGAGGATAGTAGGACAAAAAAAAGACAAGATTTCTGTATCCAAGGACGTTACGATCGCGTATGAAGAAATCACAAGTGTCTGCAGATTACTAGTACAAGGAAGCAAGTATCCATAGCTGTAAAAAAAAAAAAAGTGTTAATAAGGAAACTTCAGGCGGGGACACCAGGTCAGGGGAAGGACCTGACTGAGGCAGTGAGAGAGGCATGGATTAGAGAGCTGTTCCAGGGTACCGGCAGCAAGGATTAGGCCATCGATGAGTTTGGAAAGGGAACAGAGGGGCTGTTAATGAAAGGAAGGAAGGCGATTCATCAATCAGGTCATGCAGAGTAGAGGTTTTAGTATGAGGGAGAAAGACGGAAGGTGTAGGGTTAGACTTCCCACTTTGAGATCCTTGGGGACATCGGAAGGGGAATGCCCAGTGGACTACTTCCCAGTGGGCCTGAAGCACCCAACAGCTGGGAGCCATGTTATTTAAGATGAACCTGCCAGTGACCTTAACCAGGGAGGAGGTGGTTTCCTGCTGAACAGTATTTAGGGGCTGATGGTGAGGAAGATCCCATTAAGGAGACTGAGAAGGAGAAGCCAGAGAAGGGGGAGCATCGGGAGAGAGGCGAGGTCTGGGAGTTGCTGCAAGAGGAAGGGGTGTGCAGCTCTTGCGGGCTGCAGTCCTGTGGTAAAGGCTGTCATGGGCCTCTCAGGTCTGGCATTTAAGAAGTTAGTGACCGCTGCAGATGGCTCTTCAGGTGAGCACAGCAATCAGTGATCAAGGCCAGGAAGTTTTGTTTTGTTGCTATTGATCCTTACCCGAGGAAGTTTTATTGCTTTTAGAGAAAGGGGAAGGGAGGCATCGATGTGAGAGAGGAACAGCGATTGGTTGCCTCCTGGATGTGCCCTGACCAGAGATTGAACCTGCAACCCAGGTGTGGGCCCTGACCAGGAATCGAACCTGCAGCCTTTGGTGTACGGGACAACGCTCGGCCAGGGCAAGGCTAGGAAGTTTTAAAGGTAGGAATCTGTGCATTGAGTGCAGTGACACTGTGGCCTCTGACTCCCAGTCCCCGTCCCGTGGCAGGGTTTTCTCAGGCACCGGGCATTCTCCTGGTTGCTGTGACCTTACAGCGCTGTCCTGACAGCGATGCTGTGTGAGCAAGCCCTCCCAGGCCACATCTTAGCTCCTGTTCCAGAGTTGCTGGGGCGGGGTGGAGGCAGGTTGAGTTCTAAGGCACGAAGGATGCCAGGACCATTTTAGCCTCAAGCTGTGACGAGGCTCAGTCCCACCCCAGCTCTCACGCATCAGAGCTGCAGGAGCACCTCACTGGCTACGCTTCCCGGTGCTTTTCCTCGGAGGGGCTGGCTTCTCCCTCAGTGGCCTGTCTCCTCCTACCGTCCACCTAAAGAAACAGGGAACCTAATCTTTATTGGTTCAAATGCTTTCTTGCCAGAGGTTACAAAGCTTTAGTAATATTTAGAACCTAAAACATTATCATGGCCACTGTTCTCTAAGCTTTAGGACCCTATAAGTGCACACTGCAGGTTTCAGGTCAGCAGCTCTGTACCCTGCCCAATCCCTTCATCCTAGACTCCCTGCCTCTTTATCTCAGAGGAAGGTGTGGCCTCCTGTGGCTCTGTTTAGCCTCTGCTGTCACGGTGATCCTAATTGGAATTAGAAAGGTTGGCTTCTAGAGAACATCCTGTCCAGCAACACTAGCAAAATCTTATTTGGATTCGTTATTGTCAAATTGGAGAAGACTCAGTAATTCATCGCCACTGTATCCCTGGGTCTTGCTTCCTGTGGTCTCCCACATCCTCCTGAGAGACGAGAGGTTCCTGGCATCACAGCGGGGTTGAGCCTAGTAGCCTGAAAAGATGTCTCCATCCAAAGAGTCTGCGATCCATTTTCACAGGACACGAGTGAACAGAACTCCCTGCCACATTCCTGAAACCAGCCAGTAAGTAGCGTTCTGGGACTGTAAGAATGTGATAGTAAATGCCTCTGTGTCACCCAGATGGTCACTGGGAGATTCCCCACAGTATAGCTTTGAACCTGAAGCCTGATTCTCTCATGCTGAATCCCTGTAACCCTACACGGCAGAAGACTCCCGGGTGAGGATTCTGATCCACCGGCAGTACCAACCTT